TGAACTTTAGACTTCACGCTCACACCAGTTCAACAACTACACTATCCGTACGAGATTTAGCTCACACCACACCAGCAAACATGGACTATACCTGTGGTTTTGTCTCCGTCTACACTGGTTTCTCCCATCCTTGTGGGTTTATAGTTTTTGCAAACAAAACTGCAAAAGAAAAGCAAAGCTTTTTTCTGCTCACATGAAGCACTTCTCACTGGTTTAGCTGCAACACGATATATGCACTGCCTCCTGGGTATTTTTAGTGCCGCTGTACACACACCCTCTTTTGGACCTCATATGGGGACAACAGTTATAGCTAAACACACACACACACACACTAACACAATTGACCCTTCGCTAGGCCCGCCTCTCAACGTTTCACCCCATAATTTCCCAGCATTCTGTGGAAACTTATTCCAGCGAACTTAAAACGGCAACTTTTCAAAATAGTGAAATTTTTTGAACGTTTTCACACCTAAAATAATAAGGAAAAAAAACTACGTAACTAAAATAAAATAAATATTGATAAATTTATAAAAAGAAATGTTTTTCTTATTGTTTTTCAAACCAATTTGTTATGTATGTTTTAAGTAGTCAAAAAACATTAATATCGCGTGTGTTTACAACGAAAACAAAACCAGACTAAATTGCAAATTTTGTGAGATGTTATATTTAGGTGATAAAATAATGTAATCTGCACGGTGGAATAAGACGCTTAAAAATGTTTTTGGGTCATGGTAAAAAAAATGGTAAATGGAGTGCATTTATTTAGCACTTTCACAGACCCAATGGCCACCAAAGCGCTTTACAATTTGCCTCACATTCACCCATTCACACACTCACTCACACTCCGACGGCGGTGTCAGCCATGCAAGGCGCCATCCAGCTCGCCGGGAGCAGCCGGGGTTAGCTGTCTCACACACACACACACAGCCGGGATTAGGTGTCTTGCTCATGGACACCTCGACACTTGGTCAGGTGGAACCGGGGATTGAACCACCAACCTTCCGGTTTGTAGACAACCTACATGAACCACTGAGCCACTGCCGCCCCATCATTCTTAACCCCGGGTCATTCTTAACCCCGGGTCATTCTTAACCCCGGGTCATTCTTAACCCCGGGTCATTCTTAACCCCGGGTCATTCTTAACCCCGGGTCATTCTTAACCCCGGGTCATTCTTAACCCCGGGTCATTCTTAACCCCGGGTCATTCTTAACCCCGGGTCATTCTTAACCCCGGGTCATTCTTAACCCCGGGTTTTCTTCACGCTGCTCGGGGTTAACAATTAATCCTGGGTATTCATAAACTGATGTTTTCACACTGATTCCTAAACCATGGGTTAATGTTCTTATTTGCGTATTTGAGGCGTCAGTGTCGTTGATATGAATGAACGCAGACCGGTTTACATAAAACCTCAAGCGGTGCGCGTCCTCGTATTACCGTCTGTACTGTCGAGTTTAGAATTAAAGGGCTTTCTGGACTATAAAAGTAACAATTTATTCACTCAAATTGTTGCGTTTTCTGTCAGCATTTGACATGTTTACTACCAAATGCTGAATTAACTGTTTATTATACAAAGCGTTTACGTGACTGTCCAAAGAACGTAAATATGAGTACGCGATTGGTTGTCTGTTGCTAAACTGTTAGCTGTAACTTACGAACACCGCGTCTTTTCACACTGTACTAGTTTGGCTTTGTCACCACAATGCGGGTTTAACACAGTAACAGCAGTGTTAACTAGAGATGCAGCGATATGAACATTTCGGGCCGATACCGATAACCGATAATTCTTTATATTTGAAAGCCGATAACCGATATATTGGCCGATAAATCTAAATCCAAATTTTTCTTTTGAGAGCCTGATTACAAACACAAGTCTCACCATTAAAAGCCACGTCCCAAACACACAATTATAATGTTCTCATTATAATTTTATGTAGCCGATATGACACACTCGCGCTGCACATGTTGCACTGAACTGTATTTTCCTTTTTTGAAGTGATTCCAATAATATTTCAAACAATTCAAAACCCTCATGTTGAACAGTGCGCATCTGAAGCGTCTCAGCTGAAGGACATAATACATTATTGATCAGCTTTATTTTCTTCAACCAAATTTTCTTATTGGGCCGATACCGATAACATAAAAAAATTAACATTTATCGGCAGATACCGATATCATCATGCATCCCTAGTTTAACCCTGATCTGAGGCAGGGTTTCATAACCCCGGGTAAAAGCAGTGCTAACCCTACTTTTAAATTACTAGTGTGAAACGCTCCTTTACCCAGGGTTAAAGCGGGGTTTAGAGCGCAGATAACCCAGGGTTAAGCAAGCGCAGTGTGAAAATCCCTGCAAGGCTTTATTAGTGTTAACTTCGCATTGCGGCGCCAAACTTGTACAGTGTGAAAGGAAGTGATGTTAGAATGTTATGACAAGATCCTTAGCAACCGACAGCCAATCGCGTGCCTCATATTGACCTACTTTTGACAGTCACAGAAACACTGTAACAGTGTAACAGTAGTTTCAGCGTTTGAGGAGGAAACATGTCAAATGCTGACAGAAAACGCAACCATTTTAATGAAGTAATTTTGACTTTTATAGTCCAAAAAGCCCATTCAGTATAAACTCGATATTGGTAATACAAGGACGCGCAATGCTTCAGGTTAATGTAAACAGGTCACGTGCTGCCTTCATCCAATCAATGACACTGACACCGCAAATATGCAAATAAGAACGTTAACCCAAGATTCTATTTACCCAGGGTTTAGAATGACCCAGGTTTAACTATTTCAAGTGTGAAAAGCCCTATCATGTTTAAATCAGGGAAATCACTGCAAAAACTTTGAGAAATATTACGCTTATTAAAAGTAATGCATGTCTTTTTAACTAAAAAACCTCGATCTACTTCATCTGTGTGTTGTGATCCTCGTAGTGAATCCGATACACACGGTCTCTGACAAAATGCCATTTTCATAGCTTTTTGTTTAAAATGTTGCTTTTTTTATTAAACGTACCCACATTCAAATGAAGGTAATAATTACGTTTTTGTTTGTTTGTTTAAAAGCAGTGGGTCTATTCTTTGTTTAAAGAGTTAAACTGCTCTATATCTCTCCAATAACTCTTCACTGTGATATTGCAGCAATACTGAGATCTGTGTCAACTGCACTTCAGTGGCAGAAAGAGTATTAATGCTTTCAATCTTTGCAGCCTCTATCATTGAATCCACCCGTTCTCGATCAAAACACTGTCACTGCGAGATAACACGCCTGTTCTGATATTAATAATAATACTGCATATGAAAAGCATGTATTTGAGCTCCGCATAAGGAAAGCATGTGTGTGTGAAGCGAGATCCGGAGTAACGTTACCTTTTCTGGCCAGACTGCGACCCGCTTTCTTCTTCTTCATGATAAGAGAGTTTGAAGAGTTTCAGTTCTGCATGACCAAAGGATCTTTTCTTCCTCCTCCTCCTTCCTCTTCTTCTTCTTCTTCTTTGGAGAACTGGTGTTTTCCCAGCACACACACACTCCGCCACCTACTGTTCCTCTTCCTCATCCATGAGTTTCGCCAAATCTTCAGCATTTTCACACACATTACACTGTAATTCTATCAGAAATAATTCAAAGTTTGGTTTCTTTTTCACATTGAGGAGAAAGAATCTCATGAAAATAATTAAGAAATGTATAAGATTGACATCGTTGTATTGAAAGAACAGTAAAATGTTTTTTGTTTGTTTTTTAAGATTCAAATCAGTTTTCTGATTCTGAGATTTTTTTTAACAAGATTACAGAAAATGTGGGAATATTATGTTTCTGGTTCATTTTTACAGAATTCACATTTATTTATTTATTTTTCAGTTTTAAATATTTTGATGATAATCGTTTTACAGGATATAGGCTATTCTTTGAATAATTTTTATCAGTTTTAAAGTATTTAATACATTAATTTCATACTTGTTTTCAATATACTGCTGATATTATCTATATTATAGAGAATAACAGTGTTGTGTTCTTAATGTCTTGTATTTGGTCATGCACATGTGATTTTATGCCTTGCCAAGTTAAAAAGTATGAATTTATGCCATGGGGTTATATTAAAGTAGGCCTACTAGAATTCATAATTACACTTATTAATAAGGAGTCAAGCACCACCTGTTCTTATTATTTTCCAAATGATGAAATTTGCCACACAGATATAGAGGACAGTGTACATTAATCACAGCAAATCTGAAGTCTCTAACTCGCTCTCTAGCGCCACCAACTGTACAAATGTTGCACTCATATTTATGCTAATAACTTTTGAACCGTAGGCCTAAGGCCTAAACAAAATTCAAACATTTTTGATTTATTTGCTCATTAAGTCTACGCCATTTTCTGTCATTTAAAATTTCCTGAAAAATCGACTTTTTCTGAACTCGTCGTTTTCACCAGAAACGGATCACATCATTTTTAGACCATGCTGACAAAAAGTTATTTAAGCATTCTTGAATAACGTGTGAACGTATTCGGTAAAGAACATGTAAATAAAAAAGTTCCGCACACTTAATTTCGAGTATTGCATGCCTATAAAAAGGGCTATTTTGGCTCATAACTTCTGAACGGTTTGCCCAAAAATCATAAAACTGATTAAAAAATAAATAAAACCCAATTATTTTGGGCATTGGTCATTTTTAATGTTGTCGTAAAATACTGTATTTTATGAATGCATCAACGTTATCGTTCATCGGCACCATGCCCTGAATACCCAAAAAGTTTAGTAAAATTATAATAAAATGAACACAAATACTAATAGCGTTCGGTTAATTTAGCCTATTTTAATAAAACTGGTCTTTTTTTCTTTTCTTTATTTTTAAACTGGTCTTATACTTAAACTGGTCCATATTGAAATTGCTGTCCGCCATCTTTAATCTCTTTCTTCCTTTTTTTAAATATTGCATCAACAAACCTGATATGATCCCAAGCTGAATCTGAATCTGTAACTCACACACTTAAACATATTAACACCAAACTCTGTGTTATTGTCTCCTCACACTGACCACACTACATTCATTTGGTAACAGCGCCACCTAACGGTCAAACGTGATAAATTATTCTTAAACCATAAACCTGGATTTAGATGTTTCAAGTACAAAACCCACACAGAAATATGAACAATAACACATCAGCATATACAGGGGCACACAGATTTACTGCAAGTCTATCTCTACAAGATAAAGTTGTCCATACAAAACTGTCTTCAGCACTGCATAGTTCTTTAATGGCTTTCGAACAGTATTATTATTTTAACAGCATTATTATGACTGATTTACAGCATCGGCGATGATAATTCAGAATGCTTTAAGAATTGAGAGAAACTGAAATGAGCTTCAGGCTTAACGTAAAATATTTAAAGATGAAGGAGAAGAATTAAAGGGTTAACTCGCCTATAAATGAACATTTGTCAACATTTAATCACGTTCATGTCTAAACCTCCCATATGGAGCTCAAAATATTCACACTGTGGAATATACACAATATTCACAATATATGACTGTGCTTTAAGGTTTAGAACAACATAAAGGTGAGTAAATACTTAAAAAACGTGTCATTTTTGGGGCACTATCACTTTTTAAATGCAAATATCTCAATTCTTTGCCTGTCAATAACTATAAAACCACACGATTGGGCGAATGCGAGTCCGGTTCGATCCGAAGCGTCTCACACCTCAGGGATAGAATGATCCATTAGTGACTTTACAATATTGCTGGACATCCTGCAGGGGGAAAGAGAAACAACATTAAGAACACACTCGCCGTGACACAGCGCTTGACATGACGAAACCTCGTACCGTTTCATCATGTGTTCGAAGATCACCACCGGCATCACGGTTACCGTGACAACGCCTCCGCTGGAATTAAGGATGTCCATGATTTGGGAGTCCTAATAAAAGTTCAGATCACATGTTACACGCCGCCGGAGAAGAAAGGAAGGCGGCGGAGGTGAAGCTGGCAGGTTACCTTGAGTCCGATGATGTTCTGGCCGTTGATCTCGCAGATCTGGTGGTCCGTCATCAGGCCGTTGCGAGCCGCAGAACTGTCCTGGACGATGGAGCTGATGCGACCCTTCTTAAAGATGAAGCCCAGCTGGCCGTTCAGGTCCTTGTGGAGGGTAACGCTCCGCTCCAGCGGCCTGCAGACGGCTCACACACTGCTTCATCAGCTCACTACCAGCATGCACATTCATATATAGCCCTGATGATGTGTTAGGGTCGTTTTGCTAGTTACAGGCGAACCTCGAAAGATTAGAATATGGTGCAAAAGTTCATTTATGTCAGTAATTCAACTTAAAAGGTGAAACTAATATATTATATAGACTCAGACGTATATAGACGTACAGCTTATGAAAACCTTTTCACAATATTCTAATTTTGAATTTGGGGTTTTCATAAGCTGTAATCCATAATCATCAACATTATAACAAATAAAGGCTTGAAATATCTCACTTTGCATGTAGTGAGTCTATATAATATATTAGTTTCACCTTTTAAGTTGAATTACTGAAATAAATGAACTTTTGCACCATATTCTAATCTTACGAGTTTCACCTGTAATGTTTTTGCATTGGACTAAAATGTACTGACTTTACTCAACCAGTCTAATAACTTCCCATCATTTTTTTAACACTTTTTTTTGTGGGGGGGGGGGGGGGGGGGTCCACATTGTAAAAATGACCGGCCTACAAAAAATACCTTATAAATCTCTCATTGTGCTACATCATCACTAAATATTAGATTCAATCTTTTTGTCACCTTGTTTTCTTTAAATTATGACAGGTTTTGTATTTGACCTGACCTTTGATGATTCAGTTCAACCACAGGAATCAGCAAACATGACTTTAGATAAACATCACATTTGTTTCATTACTTTCATAACTTTATTGTTATTCCTCGATCCAGAACCGCAGCAGCGGCGCCCTCTACTGTACAGGAGTGAATCTGCGTTTCCTTCAGTCTTAAAGGATTAGTTCACTTTTAAAAAAAACTTTTGCTGATAATTTACTCACCCCCATGTCATCCAAGATGTCCATGTCTTTCTTTCTTCAGTCGAAAAGAAATTAAGGTTTTTGATGAAAACATTCCAGGATTTTTCTCCATATAATGGACTTCAATGGTAGCCAAACGGTTCAAGGTCCAAAAGACAGTTTCAGTGCAAACTGCAAACTGTTCAAATGGCTTTAAACGACACCAGACGATGAATAAGGGTCTTATCAAGCGAAACGATCGCTCATTTAAAAAAAAAATAACAACGTTTAAAGTCCCCATGAATTCAAAATTGACCATACTTACTTTGTTTGCCTAAATTGATCGTTTTGTGGTGAACAATTCATCCATGCAAGTCAATCCACCCAAAAAAATGTTTTGGCTTCGTAATCTTTAATCAAAATCTGAAATTTCCCCTCTGCGTTGGAGGACCTTGCCCGATGACGTAGGCTTTACGATTTGGGCGTCTTCTTAACATCCATAACCACGCCCCTCCAACTGACAGTAGACAGGCTGAATGAAAACACCTACTTTTCTAGATCCAATCAGGTGCTAGTTGGGAAAAAAGCCACGCCCACCATTTTGCCTCATTTAGTATTCCGTTTCTCTCGGAAATACGTCACAACACTGGAGAAAAGTCGTTTGCAACTTCCGGTTCACGGGGACTTTAAGTTTTATAAGCTCACATGCCCGCCTTGCTCTGTTCTGTGTGACTCTCCTGTTCGAACTCGTTCATCAAAATGAACAAATCTTTTTCCGAGTCAATTCGTTCATTTCGGTCGTTAAATGAATCAAATGACTCGAAAAAAGATTTGTTCATTTTGATGAACGAGTTCGAACAGGAGAGTCACACAGAACAGAGCAAGGCGGGCATGTGAGCTTATAAAACTTAAACGTTGTTATTTTTTTTTAAATGAGCGATCGTTTCGCTTGATAAGACCATTATTCATCGTCTGGTGTCGTTTAAAGCCATTTGAACAGTTTGCAGTTTGCACTGAAACTGTCTTTTGGACCTTGAACCGTTTGCTGCCCAGTAAAGTGCATTATATGGAGAAAAATCCTGGAATGTTTTCATCAAAAACCTTAATTTCTTTTCGACTGAAGAAAGAAAGACATGGACATCTTGGATGACATGGGGGTGAGTAAATTATCAGCAAAAGTTTTTTTAAAAGTGAACTAATCCTTTAAGGGCCGTACACACCGGGACGAATATCGGCGCACGTTATTCGCCAGCGTTTTTCAACGTGTTTTTTGTGTTCACACCCAAGCGATTTTCGCTGACGTTGACCCGAGTGAACATGCAAATTCATTCCCTGACATTAGATGGCGCTTAATGTAAACAGAAATAGTCCTATGTTGTAGTCGCTGTCGCGTTTGTCATTGTTCTTTATGTTCCGACACCAACGAGACCAGCAGCTCTACATTCATCTTGCCTCGCGTCTTCCTCGTCTTATTTCCCCTCGGCAGTGTAGACGCTACTCGGCGCATATCTTCTTCGCCGTTACGTGTGTGTGCTCGGCAAGACTGTGTTGTGTTTGAGCGCCCCCGAGTTGTGTTTTACTGTAACTTCAGAAGCTCCAGACACGAGAGCAAAAGCGCCAATCTCATTGGTCGGATAGTTTTTGGCGCGTCAAACCAAAAAAAACGAACCCGAGGCGTTTTAAAAAAAATGACGCTTTTACGCGTGGCGTTTTCCGCGTCGGTGTGCACACTCACACTGGCGCCCTTTGTTTAGTCACGAGGCGTTAAACGTCGGCGAATATCGCACGTGAAATTCGTCCCGGTGTGAACAGGCCTTGAGGCTTATTCATTTCACTTCTGCTGTAAAAGGGCCTTAACATTTGACAAAGATAGAACTGTTTTGTCATTAAAAAACGAGCAAGCACAGGCGAGAATAAGTAACGTAACTGTCACCGAGGATAAGCGTGGTGTATGTAGAAGAAGATGACGCATTCACAAGTGACTTTACTAAAAGAAAGATAGCCATAACCAAACTAGACCGTGCGTTAACGACAACCGACAAACAGAACTGAAAACACAGGAACTAAATACTCAGGGAGACACGGTAAATTAATGAAACACAGCCGATAACAATGAACCAACAATGACTGTAACCATGGTAACTAAAGAATGGCGGGAAATTCAAACAAAGGAACACATGTGACTGATGATAAACAAACGAAAAGCCCAAACATAACAGAACCGTGACAGGAACGCATTACTTTCTATGAAAAGTAACTAAGTAGCGCAAATAGTTACTTTTTTAGGGAGTAACACAATATTGCAACACATTACTTTTAAAAGTAACTTTCCCCGACACCGGTGTAGACACTTTCAGCAAAAGACCATTAGAAAGCTCTGAAGCAGAGTACATTTGCCTCAACTGGTCCGTTCTTACAAACCACTTTACATTTTTTCCTCCCCTTTCCCAAACTGCTCGGACCCTGAAGATTGCGGCTTGGGTTTATATTTATATGACATGTTGTGTGACAGTTTGAGGTTTATAACGATGTTTCGCACAGCTGGATATCGCTAAGGCTAAGACTACACAACACACCCTCCTGTTTCTGTTCTGCTCATGAATTATTCAGTCATAACAACCTGATCCTCATTAATAAAACAGCATTGAGTATTTGAAACCTGCAGATATGCTCTACGTATGGCGTGTGTGTGTGTGTGTGTGTGTGTGTGTACCTGTCCCGCACAGCCAGACTGATCCTCTCAGGGTTGGCGTTCTTCAGCACTTTATGTGCATTATCGCTGCTCCAGCCAGCGCAGGATTTGCCATTGATCTGCAGAATCTGATCACCGAAGCGAAGCCCTGCCAACGCTGCCGCAGTGTTCGCCTGCACCAACTGCACAAACACACCCTGAACACACACACACACACACACACACATCGGGAAGCGTCAATCAGAGATTCCCCTACACTTTAAGAGCGGTAACACTTTACAATAAGGTTCATTAGTTAACTACCTTAGTTAAGATGAGCTAAGAATGAACTGCACTTCTTCAGCTTTTATTAATCTTAGTTGATGTTAATTTCAACATTTACTAATACGTTATTAAAATCACAGTTTGTATTTTATATCCAGATTGCCCCCCATCACAGATCATTCTTGAGGTTCGCGTTTGAAGGGGTTTAAGAAGTGCATGGGTGCGCCGTTTTTCCAAACTGCGGGGCCTCCATGTCTACGTTCCTCCCAGCGAGAGTCCTAAACACCATTGGTCCACAAGAAGCCTCTATGCCATTAAGTGGTTTATCTTCTCAGCCTCAAGACCCTCCATCGTGTGGAGAACCGCTGGTACTTTCATTTCTTCAAGAGCTACTGGATGTGGGTCCCACCCCATCCACGCTCAAAGTCTACGTGGAGGTCCCCATACCCCAGTGGCCGGCCATCGTTAGGGAAAAGCGACATGATTGTTCGCTACAGTAGTACCCACCTGGGACCTATCAACGGTCCTCAGAGCCCGCAAAGGGCCTCCATTCAAGCCGCTACAATCGGCCGAATTAAAACGTCTCATGCTTAAGACTGCGCTACTGCTAGCCTTAGCATCGCTCAAGTGAATGGCCCTGTCCCAAATGGCGCACTTCATGCGGACTTTCGGTCTCGTGGACTTAAATTGCGCGTGCTCGCCGAGTCCGTAGGCCGTCCCATTTAGCATGTGAACGCTCTGAAGTGTGCTCAGCAGCGCCCCCTGTGTACCCCTGAAGCGGTCTTCAGCGAAGCCCACATAGATGGAGGCTCCACGCACTTTAACTACCCAGGAATCCTTGCGAAAGGCCAATCAGACGACGGATGGGAGGAGATTTCGCTCACGGACAATTGTTAACATGGCTGAGAAGAAAATATTTAAGTGTAATTATCATTACGGTTTTTATGACAAGTTTATACAAACATTATGATCATCGACCAGTGGTTAATGTCTCAAACATAGGCTAATAATAGCGAGCTGAATAATACGATCGTATTATGATTCATTAAATAAATAGAAGAGAATGTCAGGGCTTTACTGAGTCATATGTAAACACAACAACAATAGGCAGCATATTTCCCCGAACCTGTAGCTCCTGTCCATAACAACAACCAGACCGTCTTCCAGTTTCCGGCGTGACGATCGAGTCTGTCCCAAAAATACCTCTCAATGCGCCCTCGCGGACTCGCGCTAAGGGCCCTATAGGTCTGCACTACATGACGTCACCGAAGTGTGGACTCTGAGGAAGTCCACAAGTCCGGAGTGTGCCATTTGGGACAGGGCCAATAGGGGACCTCCACACACTCTCTGTTAGCGCTTCCTGCCTTGAGTTTGGACCAGGCGACTCTAAAGTCGTCCTCAAGCCAAGGCATGGCTATGTCCCCAAAGTGCTTTCAACTCTGTTCAAAGCACAAGTAATTTTGCTTTCTGCTCTTCCCACGACGGAAGATGAGCAACATTTACACCTGCTCTGCCCGGTTCGGGCCCTGAGAGCATATTTAGAGCGCTGAACCCAGTACAGACAGTCGCAACTCTTCGTAGCCTTCGGTGGCCACACCAAAGGGCTTCCGGTCATGAAGCAAAGACTATCCCGTTGGCTGGTGGATGCTATCGCTCTAGCCTACGCTTCTACGGGCCTGCAATGCCCCATAGGCATCAGAGCACACTCCACCAGAGGCATGGCTTACTCCTGGGCAAGGTCCAGTCGGGTGTCTATCGGCGATATATGCGCAGCGGCCGGCTGGTCCTCCGGAAGTCCTCCGGATTTTATAACTTGGAAGTCCCAGCGTTGCAGGCGCATATCCTTTCCGTGTAGTTTGAGCCGGCCTCTGTGCGAGCCCAGCCCAGTATTATTCTTAAGGGTTCTGACCCTACTGAGCCTCCTCAGGCCGCTATTGCCGCATTAGCCCTCTGCCCATGAGACCCTTGTCCAGGCGTCCCAGGCTCGGGTCATAAAACATGTCGTTCTGCTTGAACATAGCACGGCGTGATTGGATTGGTTCCCCATCGCGTCTAGCAGACGCAATACGACTGGCCGTTCGAAAGGAAACGACTCGGTTACGAACATAACCTCGGTTCCCTGAGATAAGGGAACGAGTATTGCGTAGACGGCCGTGCTATGACGCACACGACTCGGCGTTCGTCTCTTCAGTCATTTAAAGCTGAATCCTATTTATTGGCAGATGCCCCGCCCCTTCTGGCGGGCTCTGTGCCCTGATTGGCTCGCGCAGTCACGCTGTTTCGCCATAGGTTCATGCAGTTTTTACAAGCAGCCAAATTTTTATGTGAAATCACAAAATGAGCATTAAAGAAGGTGGGTGGAAACATAGCTAATGAACACTTCGAAAATGAGATGATTAATGATGAATAATGCTAAATGATTAAATGTAATAAGATAATCAAGATTGATGAATTATGTTAAATCAAATGTAAGAGTCAAAGAAATACATTATCTATGGCTTTGAGGCGGAGGCCGATCTTCCCATCCATGTCTTTGCACAGAACAAGCTCCCGAACGCCCTGCCGAATCTCCGCCCTCTTCACGCCCAGGTCACTTCCTGTTACAGGAGCCGCCCTCCAGATCGCCGTGTCACTTCCTGTTACAGGAGCTGCCGTCCAGCTCGATCCAGATGTGCAGACACTGAGAGCCTAAAAAAGGCATTGGGTTGTATATTAGTACTTTAAGCTAATTTATTTTGTCCAATGACCTAAAATATACTTTGTGTGGTAACATCTATCGCCAGTTCAGTCATGAAACACTAGAGGGCGTCCTTTACATGCGATCACATCATCACCGCACGGCACAAGCTGATTGGCCTCTGCTGATCCTGCAGCCAATGAGATCGCTTGAGCCCCTCCCCCTCCCCAGCTCCACCTGCCCAGATCCACTCCAGTGTGTGTCTATTCATGCAGATCTTACATGTTCACAGCAGCGTGTCTGAATAGATTGAACTGGTTTTATTCGAGTCAAACATCATCTTTAAAGTGACTATAAACAAGCTGACCACATTAAGGCCTTATTTGCACTGCAGGTCTTGATTTGTTGACTATATCTGATTTTTTGGATGACCAGCTCACATCTTCTTTTAAAAATGACCCATATCTGATATCTGCATTTACACTATACACTCGACCAAGCAACCCAAGGTAGATGTACTGACCCGAAGCTCTGAAAAAGTACACACACACACACACACACACTCACCGCACTGCTCTGGTCAGTGACTGAAGAGGAAAGAGTTTGTAAAGCGTCTGCATTGAGATTTAGACCCATAAACTCATTCAGATCCGGGTATAAACTTCCAGAAGCTCCTGAAGACAGAGACAGAGAGCAGAAACACGTGAGGAAGATCTGATGATTTAATCAATCAAAGAACTGCAATAAGGAACCAGATCAAAAATTCCAGGCTAGTCTAATTTTGCCAGTGCGATATTTTAGAGCAGTCTAATTTTTTTTTTCTTCATTTTCATGATTTTATTTACTTTTCCAGGCCTGAAAATATGAGTTAAAAAATTCCCTGATATGTCCTAATGGTTGAAGACTGAAAACACAATAACCCACTGAAGCTCAGCTTTAAGTCTCTAGTCTACATCATCACAGATTATGTAATCATGCAGTATTACATATACAGTAATACATATACAGTATTCTTCATATATACAGTATTCTCACCGATCTCTTCAGCTTTCGGCTCATTCTGGGTTTGGGAAGGTTCAGGAAGAGCCAAAGCTTTTGATGGGCTCGCATACGGGCTGTTCTGTGCCTATGGGAAAAACATATTCTAGAAATGATATTATAGCCCTGCTATTATATAAGGTTTTTATAAATTAACATATACATGTGTGACCAACCTGCAGGAATTTATCCACCTTCATGTCTTCTAGAGATGGATACAGTGACATGGTTATTATCCCGTTTCCAGATCAATTTCCTAAAGAAATGCTGAGAGACAGAACATGTAATAGAAACATATATAAACTAGCAAAATTAATGAAATACAAAAAAAAAGACATAAAATAATCCCCTGTAGTGTTTGACACATATATATATATATAATTTATTTCCACGTTTCCGCATTACGAGCTTACGTCACAATCTTGTCGATGTCAAACACAACAGTAATTCTCCCGGTATAAAGATATTAAATGACAAACAGGTCGTTAGTTTCTTAAATGTGTAGGCTATGTTGAGTTTGAGAGTTAGATAAGACAGCATAATTTAGCGCTTTTATAGTGATAGTCAATAACGATACATTATATAGCTATGGATGTGACACATTAACGTTAGCGCGTTCGCGAGGATGATGATGATGATGATGCGCGTTCACTCACCTTGACACTGCAGAAGAATCATACGCTCGCGAGTCCAGTGAATGTCTGACAGCTGATCTAGTTCTCAGAGGTTATGGATGTGATGATGTCCGTGTGTGTGTGTGTGTGTGACTCCTGGATGAGGGAAATATATCCTCGTCTCGAGCGCATGTCATCATCACGCGAGCGCCCTCGTGCGGCTGCGCAGAAGACTCAACAGTGTGTGAGGAGGATTATTTACTGTCTGTTTTGTATTTCGTTTATTTTGCTGGTTTAAATACTTGTGAATTTAGACATCTTTGGTCTGTTGCTTCTGATGGAAAATAATAATAATATTAATGTTCTATGAATTCATTTTTCTAATATACAATGTAAAAGGAATGTATCAGGCAAAGAAACATGATATACACACACATACTCACACTCACTCACTCACACTCACACACACACACACACACACACACACAAACTCAGTTTTTGGTCAAGATCTTTTTTCTGTCTGTTTTCTTTGGTTTACAAAGCTGTCATGTTCATGCACTATATGGATTATCTTCTGTTTTGATGATAAAGTTGAATTGCTGCAAATAAGATCCTCTTCTCTTCATTCTGCAGACATATATGAATAGGGTGAATTGCCCTATTATGGGGCATTTTTTTGCATTTCAGTGTCCTAATCAAATTAAAAGAGAAAATGCAGAAAACACATTCATAAAAGAAATGATACACATTAGTGCTCTTAGTACAAGGCGTCTGACACAAGCTGCAGCTTCCTAATGTGGGACAGTTGTGTTCCTAATGTGGGACAGTTGTGTTCTAATGTGGGACAGTTGTGTTCCTAATGTGGGACAGTTGTGTTCTAATGTGGGACAGTTGTGTTCTAATGTGGGACAGTTGTGTTCCTAATGTGGGACAGTTGTGTTCTAATGTGGGACAGTTGTGTTCCTAATGTGGGACAGTTGTGTTCCTAATGTGGGACAGTTGTGTTCCTAATGTGGGACAGTTGTGTTCTAATGTGGGACAGTTGTGTTCCTAATGTGGGACAGTTGTGTTCCTAATGTGGGACAGTTGTGTTCCTAATGTGGGACAGTTGTGTTCTAATGTGGGACAGTTGTGTTCCTAATGTGGGACAGTTGTGTTCTAATGTGGGACAGTTGTGTTCTAATGTGGGACAGTTGTGTTCCTAATGTGGGACAGTTGTGTTCCTAATGTGGGACAGTTGTGTTCTAATGTGGGACAGTTGTGTTCCTAATGTGGGACAGTTGTGTTCTAATGTGGGACAGTTGTGTTCCTAATGTGGGACAGTTGTGTTCCTAATGTGGGACAGTTGTGTTCCTAATGTGGGACAGTTGTGTTCTAATGTGGGACAGTTGTGTTCTAATGTGGGACAGTTGTGTTCCTAATGTGGGATAAAATATAAAATCTTGCAACTTGCTAAAAACATCTCGGGTTACGACTGTAACCCTTGTTCCCTGAGAAGGGAACTCGCACTGCGTCGGAACGACACTTTTGGGAATCCCCCCAGCGAGTTGGAACTGGCATAGGATTCCTGAGGAAGTGCCTCAACACCTCAGGGTCCCCGTCAGATCCATCTGCGAACCCCATGATGCGAGCCGCCGGACTACGGGGAGCGCGTCATCACTGAAGATGGCCAAACCTTAAACATCTGCGGTAAGCATTCTAATAATGTGTAACAACACTAAAACCCTGTAAATAACCATTTCTGTCCCACAAATCATGCCCCACCGCTCATTTTTGACTGACTGAAGTAAAGTCCCACATTAGGCTAACCAGACTGTCCCACGTTTCAAAACCACATTTCCTAAAGTAGGACACTAGGGACAGGGACACCCATAAAAATTAGGGATGCACGATATATCGGTCACCATATCGGTATCGGCCGATATATGTTCATTTGAAATGTTATCGGAATCGGCCAAATAAGAAAATTTGGCCGATATATTAAAGGCGATAAATAATGTATGATTTCCTTCAGCTGAGACGCTTCAGATGCGCACTGTTCAACATGAGGGTTTTGAGTTGCTTGAAATATGATTGATATCACTTCAAAAAAGGAAAATACAGTAAAGTGCTGTGGTCATATCGGCTACATAAAACTATAATGAGAGCCTCATTATAATTGTGTGTTTGAGACGTGGCTTTTAATGGTGAGACTTTTTGTAATCAGGCTCTCAAAAATTATATAAACATTCTGATTTAGATTTATCGGCCAATATATCGGTTATCGGCTTTCAAATAGAAAGAATTATCGGTTATCGGTATCGGCCAAAATGTTCATATCGGTGCATCCCTAATAAAAATATAAAATAATGTAGTCTAAACATACAAAGTGACACTATGTTTTGATGGACAAACATTTCCTAATGACGTAAGGGCCAAAAATTAGCAGGATTGTTTTGTTTAAAAATAATTTATACTATGTCACTGACCTTTGGATGGTCTTCACACAAGTTGCTTCATTTTTGAAGATTGCTCCACCCTCATATATGACTGAACATTTGAGAGGTCATGTGTTGTTGATCACATGACACAACAGCTTTGGCTAACCCATAGTTCCCTTTCGAGGGAACTCGCGATGCGTCACTTGACGCTTTGGGAACGCCCCCAGCGTGAATGCGTCTGAGCATCAATGTCAACTAGTCCAATGGAAAGAATGAGCGTCACGGGCGGGTGACGTCATGACCAGGAAGGCATAAGAGCACATCCGGTGAAACGCGGCATTAGCTTCTGTGTCTCAGCAAGCGATCTGTGTTACTCTGTCTCTGTCTATTTATTGTTGTCTGTTCGATATTATTGGGAAGAGTTATGGCGAAACAACTTTACAAACTCTGTGCTTCTCCCTGCCCGCGTTATTTAACGGGTGGGACCCGGACACACACGAGCTTTGTGTAGTTTGTTTGGGAGTGGAGCATGCGGTATCAGCCTCCGAGGGGGCTGATTGCAACATTGTGAGAAGCAGGGGCGTCACTAGGATTTTCATTTTAGGGGGGCTAAGCCCCCAATATGATTTTTAAAAAAATTATAAAAAATGTAACACTTTAGTTTAGGATCTAAAGCTCACTATTAACCATTTTCATTACGATGCAAAGGCACGGTTTTATAATAACTGTGGTCCCAAATGTGAGGCAGGGCAAATACGGGGGTTCGGGGTCTCCCCGAGAAAATTGATTTCTCTGATCACATATGTGTATTTTAAGATGTTCTGAAGGCCAAAAAACTTGGATAGTGGGCAGCTGATTATTTTTCTCTCCTCATCAGCATCACACTCTTTTTCTCTTTGTTTTTCTCTTGCCCTGTCTCTTCCCCTCCTAAAGCTGAGCTTTGACTGATATAGGCTTTTCATTTTTGTCTGTCAGTGAAGAAAGTAAACATAGGGTCAACTGATAGGGTGATTTTGCCTATGAATCATTTTCTCAGACGCGTTTATTTACTGAAAGCTACTAAAGGTAAGTTTATTAAATGCATTCACAATATGTAGGCTACACATTTATTATAGATCTTATGCCTAATACAGGGCCGTAGACAGGGCTTTATAATCACAGAGGTCCTAAATTTGAGGTTGGTAGGGGGTTCAAATTTTTTATTTCTCTGATATGTGCATTTCAAGACGTTTGAAGACCAAAAAAAAGGATAAGAAATAGCTTTAAAACCATGTCAGTGGGCAGATTATTTTTTTGTCAATACCTGCTGCTCTCTTCTCATCTCCATCACTCTTCCTTTTTTTATCAGTCTCTTCCCCTCCTAAAGCTGAGCTTTTTTAATTTACTAAAGGCTACAATTTGTATTATATTCTCAATATGTACACATTCATTATTAATCTTGTGCCTAAAATGATGAAAACGGCTTTGTTAATGTTTCTTGTAAACTAATTATTACATGAGTCACGTTACATAGGCCTATTTTCAGCTCAAAATGGCGAAATTTGACACAACTATATTAGTTTGCCTGATTATTTTTTGTCATTCGTTTAACATTTATGACATGAAAAAGGTAAAATATGAAATGTTAAGTTTAGCTACTTACATCTTATCTCGCACTTGACCGTACGCGTCGAGTCGCACTGTTAAAATTCGCGCTCAGCAGCGTCTGTGAACATTAAGCCCGCCTACTTTGATTTGATTGGTCATCTCAAATATTCTGACATTGACGAGCAGTGACAGACCAATGAGGCTCAGATAAACACACATGAACACACACAGTCCTCTGTTTCTGACGTGCTCTCTGCTCGGCGCCGCTGCAGATTGAAGATGAAGAACGCGCTGAATCTGATTATAACAAGACTGAAGCGAACACGAATTTGTGTAGCCTACATTAATCTCACATTTTTAGGGGGGCTAGGCAGAAGTTTAGGGGGGCTGAAGCCCCCCTAAAAAGGGCCTAGTGACGCCCCTGGTGAGAAGCTTTCGCTTCGCATGCTCCACTCCCGCCTGTCACTTTTCGAGGAAAGTGGCCAGGCTCGCGATCCTCGGGGTGCAGGACACGCGTCTGCCGAGGCAGCGCGGAGAATGCATTCCTGTGGATCGCGGATAGGATCTCGTTACGGGGTTGGAGACGGGTCCGCGGATCTTATCTCCTCCCTTTCCACGAGGGATCCAGTGCTCTCTCTCCGGTCTCGGAAGCCCGCGCTGCGGTCTCTTCCGCCCGGGGAGAGAAATCAATGCTTCAGTGCTCTACCTCCGAGGAGGTAGATGTGCTGGGCATTGAAAGTGTACACAATCATGGGGGAAGTGGATTTGCCATCTCTTCCCCAGCGTATGAGAATTATATATAGCCTATGTATATATATATATATATATATGATAGTTTATATATTATATATAAAATAAAGTGTATATATATAAAGAATGTATATAAAAAATATATATAATAATAAGCTGGTGGAGGTGTTTACTAAGGCTGTAGATAAATTAAATATTTAATGGCCAGCAGAAATAAGGGGGCACTCGTCCTTAAAATAAATTGAACGAGTTTCCTTCCCTCTATTTTTCCACCTCCATCACGGGGCCTTCCATTTTTCCCGATCTGCACAGCGAGCTGTCTAGATCATGGAAAAAGCCTTACTCATTTATTAGCCCCACATTCATGTATATTCAGATATTTGGGGGTTAAGACACTTGCGAGCTATGTCTCCCGGTTCAGTATCGTCCCTGAAGGCGTCGGCTTCTCTCACTAAACCATTAAAGAAAACTATTTTTTAATCTAGTGGGAAAAGCATATATGGCAGTGGGTCTAGCACGAGCCTGCTTGCACACTATAGCAGTGCTGCAAGCATATCAGGCTGACCTGCTGTGGTATTTGGACAGAAGTGAGGGAGTTTGGCCCGATGGGGTTTGAGAACTCCGTCGGGCCTCAGATTTATCTCTCAGGGATGGCAGCCAAAGAAATGTGGTCACTGAGAGACACCTCTGGCTCAATTTGATGGGAATCATGGAGAAAGATACAAGATAATCTCTCCCTCGCTATGTCCAACCCACTGGGGCTGCTGGGCGTGAGCAGCTCCAGCCGGCTAGTTTCTCATACACAACACAGCAGCCAAAGCCTTCAAAGCAGAAGCCGGATCCGAGGACCGTTCTTCATGCTGAGAAGGCTGCGGCTCAAAAGAAAAGGTCTGGCGCCACGGCGTCAGACCGGTGAGGGCAGCCCCAACTGGGGTGGAATGGTGTACACCTCATTATACGGTGCCCTTTCCATCTCTGTGCCCTCAGGGGACCGTTCTGCCAACCCCGCCACCCTTGGTGCTCGGGGCGCAGCGTTCTCCAGCGAGCTTCTGGCACAGCGTCAACTCGACATTGCGTCGGACTCGCGCCCTCTGAGGGGAGTTCGAAAACAGTCAGTTCGGGTGGTTCCTGCCAGTTTGTTTCAGGTCCCCGAACTGGCTGTCTTTATTACACCAGAGGCCAGCCTCGAGGGGCTGGTTCCCTTGGTAGATTTTCTGGCAGCGCGGAAGCTACTGCCAAATATATCTCTATGGGTAATGGTAATCTCTCTGGTAATGGAGCAAGGGGTAAAGGCCCTGTTAGCAAAGAAAGCTATAGAGCAGGTGTACTCACCCGACATTGCGTCGGGTCTTTACAGTCGTTATCTCATTGTTCCAAAAAAGGATGGAGAGCAGCGTCACATACTAGATCTTCGTCTGTTGGAGTGTTTGGTGCTGGAACTCAAGTCCAAGATGCTGACACTCAAACAGATCGTGACTCAAATCAGATCCGAGGACTGGTTTGTCACGATAGATCTAAAAGACGTATACTTCCATATCTCCATCCTCCCTCAGCACAGGAGGTTCCTGAGGTTTTCTTTGGGGCAAAGAACACCAGTATCAGGCACTTCCTTTCGGTCTAGCTCTATCACCCCGCACATTCACGAAGTGTATAGACGCAGCTCTGGCCCCGCCAGGCTGCAGTGTATACGCATTCTGAATTGCATAGATGACTGGCTGATTCTAGCGGAATCAGAACAGTTAGCGGTTCGGCACCGAGGTGTCGTTCTCGCTCATATGCAGATGTTGGGGTTGAGGCTCAATGCCAAGAAGAGTGTGCTTTCTCCAGTACAGAGAACCACTTTCCTTGGTGTGGTATGGGATTCAGTGACGATGCGGGCCACTCTGTCGCCCGTTCGTGTAGCTGCTATCCTAACAGCCACAAAAGAGCTGAGGCTAGGCCAGTCACGCACTGTAAAACAGTTCGAGAGACTGTTGGGTCTTGTGGCAGTAGCGTCCAACGGGATACCTTTTGGCCTGCTGTACATGAGACCTTTGCAGTGGTGGCGCAGGACCAGAGGGTTCTCCCCGAGGGGAAACCCATTTCGTATGATCGTGCCTTCGTGCCTTGGTTATATGGAGGAAACACTGGTTCTTAACCCAGGGTTCGGTGTTGGGAGCTCTTTGCCATCGAGTTGCTATCTCGACAGATGCTTCCCTCACCGGCTGGGGAGCGGTATTGGAAGGCCGCTCAGCTCAGGGCTTGGGAGGAGTCATCATCTCGCTTGGCACATGAATTGCCTAGAGATGATGGTCGTCTTCAATGCGTTGAGACATCTCCTCCCAGACCTGAGGGGCCATCATGTGTTGTTCTGAAACAGTGACTGTTAGGCCTCAGGGCAGCAGCGTTCAATGTGATACCCTTTGACCTGCTGTACGTGAGACCTTTACAGTGGTGGCTCAGGACCAGAGCGTTCTCCCTGAGGGGAAACCCACTCCGTACGATCAAGATCACGCGGCAGTATCCCCGCGCCTTGGTTATATGGAGGAAACTCTGGTTCTTGACCCACAGACAACACGTTGGTGGCCTATTATTTTGGTCCCTCAGGAAATTACGCTGTCTGAGGGCAGTGTATATTCCAGGGGGGCCAGAATATTGGAGCAGACACCCTGTCGAGGCAGGGGCTGAGGCCAGGGGACTCCACCCCGAGGCGGTGGAGCAAATATGGGAGTTTTATGGCCAGGCAGAAGTGGATTTGTTCTCGTCTCAGCATACGACGCACTGTCCACTCTGGTTATCCCTCACTCAACCAGTCCCCTCGGGGCTGGTTGCTATGGTGCAGACGTGGCTGAGGCTACGTCTGTACGCATTTCCCCCTGTTGCTCTGCTCCCAGGAGTTCTGGAGTGATTCCGCCAGGATGGAATAAGCCTATTTAGTAGCACCACCCTGGCCGAGCTGAATTTGGTTTGCGGACGTAATTTTTCTCCTCGACGGACCTCCCTTGGAGGTCCCGATCAGGAGAGACCTTCCGTCTCAGGCAGGGGATGCAATATTGCACCCCCGGCAGGGGATTTGGAAACTGTGGGTTTGGCCTCTGAGGGGGCCCAACTCATAGAGAGTGGTCTCTCAACCGAGGTTGTTGAGACCATTCTAAGCTCCAGAGCTCCCGCTACGAGTAAACTATATTCACTATTTCGAGAGTTTTTCACTTCTTGGTGTTACCAGCGTCAGTGGGATCCGGTTAACTGTTCAGTAAACACAGTATTCGAGTTTCTGCAAGAACGCTTTGTATCAGGTCTATGTCCTTCCACGCTTAAGGTATACGTGGCGGCCATTGCGGCTTTCCACGCCCTGGTGGGTAGTACATTTTTGGGTCGAGACCCCCTGATCACTCGTTTCCTTCGTGGCACTTTGAGGCTGAGGCCTGCAACTTGCACTAGGGTGCTGGCTTGGGACCTTGCAATAGTTCTAGAAGGCCTATCTGGGGCTCCCTTCGAGCCCTTAGATTTGGTCTCAGAGAAGTTCCTTTCTTTTAAGACTATTTTCTGCTAGCTATTTCGTCCCTATTAGAGTCAGACCTTCAGGCCCTTTCGGTCCCCACCTGCCTTGAGTGCACCGGGGATGGCCAAGGCATTCTTACCCGAAACATGGATATGTTCCAAAGGTGCCTACCATTATTCCGAGGCCTATTGTGCAGCAGGTTTCTGTCCTCCTTTTACATCTGCGGACCAGGAAAGGCTGAACCTCTTGTGTCCAGTGCGAGCACTGGATACTTATGTTTATCGGACATCTTCAATGAGGAAGTCCGACCAGTTATTTATTTGCTTTGGATCACCTAAGAAGGGTCTTCCTGCTTCTAAACAGACGGTTAGTAAGTGTATAGTCGAGGCTATTTCACTTGCATACGAGTACTCTGACCATCCGTGTCCCTTGGTGGTCAGAGCTCACTCAACGAGGGGTATGGCGGCCTCTAAAGCCTTGTTATTTGGGGTTTCTCTCCAAGACGTTTGTGATGCGGCAGGCTGGTCTTCACCGCTCACATTCGTCAGGTTTTACAGTTTGGACCTGGATGCTGCCCCAGGTTCTCAGGTGCTTAGTGCTTAGTTCCAACAGACTGACACTCAGGTACTTGGAATTCTGGCGTTTTGGGTATTCTCGTTCCCAAAGCGTCAAGTGACGCATCGCGAGTTCCCTCGAAAGGGAACGTCTCAGGTTACTACTGTAACCATAGTTCCCTGAGAAAGGGAACGAGACGATGCGTCACCCTGCCATACTTCCTGCATCCCTGTGATCGGCTTGCTTCGACTTTTTGAAGCTAATGCCGCGTTTCACCGGATGTGCTCTTATGCCTTCCTGGTCATGACGTCACCCGCCCGTGACGCTCATTCTTTCCATTGGACTAGTTGACATTGATGCTCAGACGCATTCACGCTGGGGGCGTTCCCAAAGCGTCAAGTGACGCATCGTCTCGTTCCCTTTCTCAGGGAACTATGGTTACAGTAGTAACCTGAGACGTTTCATTAGGTGTCCCAGATTAGACAGTGTCCCACTTTAGGGCAATTCACCCTAGTACCAGTTTACTGCTGTGATAGTGAGCACATTTGTGCAAAACGCTACATTTTTATTGATATTACAAAAAAAAAAAATTCCATTGAAAAGAAAGTCTTACAGTCAAACAAAAGGAATCATCATTTATATATAGACCAATTTCACTCGTCCTCTAGGCTGAGATGCTCCTCCTGTCAGGTGTGTGTTCTCCTCCTGTATCGGAGCGGGACGTCCCGCGAGGGCGGCAGAACACCGAGACCCGCGCGCCGGGCGTCAGGATCCAGCGGGGCACCAGCGTCACACAGATGGAGATCGTAACGCCACAGAGTCACGGCCAGGAACTGCTTGATCTCGTGCAGCGCGAAGAAGCGCCCCGGACACTCGCTGGCACCGGAGCCGAACGGCATCAAGAAGTGCTTCAGTCGGCGCCCGTTCCTGAAGAAATGAGTCTTGCGTTGACCGTTCTCATCTAGGAAGCGGCCGAATCTGAACTCCTAGAAACAGAAGAACGTTGCATTCACACGGCTGGCTGCTGTATGATGTCTAAAACACGTTGAGCCACATGTTTGAGTCAGAACTGAAACATGCCCTGGCTGGTGAGGATCTGCAATCTCTGGCATACATTTTAGTTCAGTGCAAGCTACCTGTTTTTCATACTTCCATGCATTAAACATATTATCCTAGAATTCAAAGATGTATATAACGTGCAACGGAACATATGGTATAATTTTGGGCAAACCAATGCTAAAAGATTTATCATTTCTGTTCCTGTTTTCTGCTCCTTGTTTGTAGTCCCTTGTAGTTTTCTTTGATCTTTAGAGTTTGTAAAGTCTGGTCTTTTTATCTCACAATTCTGACTTGTGAGATCAAAAGTCGCAATTGTCTTTTAAAATGTTTTATTCTGTGGCGGAAACAACCGTCTAAGTTCTCAGTAGTGACAGCAGAAACGAAGCGTTTGTAACTTTACCTGAACTTTACCTAACTATTGAACCGAAATGAAACGCTGGCGACCCCTGCTGGTCAGAACAGTGGAAGTGCAGCGAATAACTCAAAATATGTTTCCATCTGCCTTATCTTGCTCCCAACATTACATAAATGGTCTAAAACCTCATTGATTAAGAGAATGTTTATTTGACATAAGTTTGCACACATACTGTGGGATCGGCGTAGATCTCGGGATCCATGTGTATGAGCTGTGGGTAAAGAGCAACGTGATCTCCTCTCCGGATATCAGCTGTCTGACCCGAGTCCAGCGTCAGAGTAAAGTCTTCATTAGCGACGCGGATCATCATGGAGGCGCTGGACAGGCGAAGAGCTTCCTCGATTATACTCTCTGAAAAAAACAAACATTTATTTCACTTAGATATCACATTTAATTTAAATAAAAAATTAATCAATAAGTGCTAATTATCCAAATATTAGGCTACCCCAGTCCCCGAGACAGCAGGTCGAGAGATCGGTAATCAGACTAACAGTTTCATTTTGAGCGTGATATTGCTTTTATTTAACAAGAAGTTAATTTACTTTTTTAGACAAAATATTGCCTGTATTTTCTCTTTTTTTGCACGGAAAACCAAAATTCCAAGACATTCTTAATCAGGATACACAGTAATCATGATAATTAGATGTGAACATTTCTTAGAAACGTCTCAGGTTACGACTGTAACCACAGTTCCCTGAGAGAGGGAAATCGCGATGCGTCGATGACGCTTGGGGAACGCTTCCAGCGTGAATGCGTCTGAAGCATCTATGTCAACTAGTCCAATGGATGGAATGAGTGTCACGGGCGGGTGACGTCATGACCAGGAAGAGATAAAAGCGCATCCGGTGCAACCGGCATTAGGCAAGGCAAGGCAAGTTTATTTATATAGCACATTTCATACACAATGGCAATTCAAAGTGCTTTACATAGAAGAAATTAAAATAATCAAAACAAATAAGAATAATTAAAACAGTTTAGAATAAAAAATCAAATAAAGTAGTACTGGTCCACCCCTATCTGAGATGGAAGAGATTGAGCCGGTTTACGGTGCCACTGGACCTCTAGCCCAGGGACGTACTCTGCTGGGGTGGTGCTACACCAGTAATGCCCAGCGGGGCCCCCACAGAACACGCTTCGTGTGCGCTGTCTGCTGCCGTTACCCTTAACCACGCTCTCAGCGACTTCTTATACAGCAGTATAACTTACTCCTTCACTCGCCTCATCGGAGTGAAGACTCTCCCGCTCTCCTTCAGAATCTCTTCCAGAGATTATAAAAATAAATAAATCAGAAATTAGAAAACAAACAAAGACAAAACCAGTACAGTAAAAACAGTCGGACGGACAGTGGCACAGTGCTCATTCAGTAAATGCACAGCTAAACAGATGTGTTTTGAGTCTGGATTTGAATGTGACTACTGTAGGAGCACATCTGATCTCCTCTGGAAGCTGGTTCCAGCTGCGGCTGGCATAGTAGCTAAAAGCAGACTCTCCATGCTTAGAGTGAACCCTTGGTATTTCTAGCTGATGTGATCCTAATGATCTGAGTGATCTGTTAGGTTTATATTCAGTGAGCATATCTGCAATATATTGAGGTCCTAGCCCATTGAATGATTTATATACCAGTAATAATACTTTAAAATCAATCCTAAATGTAACTGGGAGCCAGTGTAAAGACCTGAGGACTGGTGTGATGTGTTCATATGTTCTGGTTCTGCTCAGCGTTCTGTATGAGCTGCAACTGTCTTATGGTCTTTTTAGGAAGGCCAGTGAGGAGTCCATTACAGTAATCCACCCTGCTGGTGATGAAAGCATGCACAAGTTTCTCTAAGTCTTGATTGGAAACAAAGCATCTAATTCTTGCAATATTTTTCAGATGATAATATGCTGATTTAGTTATTGCTTTGACATGACTACTGAAACTAAGGTCTGACTCTAGAGACACACCAAGATTCCTGACTTGATTTTTAGTTGTTAGACCCCTAGCGTCAAGGTATGCGTTCACCTTGAGAACTTCATCTTTGTTTCCAAACGCAATGACTTCAGTTTTGTCTTTGTTTAACTGAAGAAAGTTTTGGCACATCCAACCGTTGACTTCATCAATGCATTGGCACAGGGAGTCAATGGGGCTGTAATCGTTAGGCGATAGGGCTAAGTAGAGCTGTGTGTGTGTGTGTGTGTGTGTGTGTGTGTGTGTGTGTGTGTGTGTGTGTGTGTGTGTGTGTGTGTGTGTGTGTGTGTGTGTGTGTGTGTGTGTGTGTGTGTGTGTGTGTGTGTAAGTAGAGCTGTGTGTCGTCTGCATAGCTGTGGTAAGAGATTCGGTTCTTTCTCATTATTTGGCTCATTGGGAGCATATACAGGTTGAACAGGGGTGGTGCCAGAATTGAGCCTTGAGGGACTCCGCATGTCATGGACGTCCACTCAGACTTATGGTCTCCTATACTCACATAACAACCTCTCCTTTCTAAGTATGACCTGAACCATTTTAGGACTATCCCAGAAACCCCCACCCAGTTTTCCAGCCTGTCAAGAAGTATGTCGTGATCGACAGTGTCAAATGCAGCACTGAGGTCGAGTAGTACCAGCACTGATAATTTCCCTGTATCAGTATTTAAGCGAATATCGTTTATTATCTTTATGAGCGCTGTCTCTGTGCTGTGATGCGATCTGAAACCAGATTGAAAATTGTCAAAGTATCCATTTGAGCTTAAGAATTTGTTCAGCTGATTGAAGACAACTTTTTCAATGATCTTGCCTATGAAAGGAAGATTTGAGATCGGTCTATAGTTGCTTAAGATGGTCTTATCCAGATTGCTCTTTTTCAGGAGGGGCTTGACAACTGCAGTTTTCAGGGAGTTTGGAAAACTAAGAGAGAAGTGAGGCATTTACCACTTCTAGGAGATCTGCTTCTAAGCTGTTTAACACACTTTTGAAGAAAGAAGTGGGAAGTGCGTCAAGGGCGCAGGTTGATGTTTTAAGGTGCTGTACGGTTTCTTCCAAAATTGTGCCTTCAACTTCTTCGAAAACAGACATAGTAACTACTTTCTCAGGTTGTGGTCTGATCCGTCTTACCCCAGTGCGGCTCAATGATGTGCTGATCACCTTTCTGATATTATTGATTTTCTCAGAGAAGGAAGCAAACTCACTGCACTTGCCGTCTGAGAGCATTTCACTGGGAATCTGGCTTGGGGGGTTTGTCAGTCTTTCTACAGTAGCAAAAAGTGTGCGTGTGTTGTTTAAGTTTCTGTTTATAATATTTGAGAAGAAAGTCTGTCTAGCTTTGCCTAGTTCCATATTAAAAGCATGGATGCTGTCTTTGTAGATGTTATAATGGACTACAAGTTTTGTCTTCCGCCACATGCGCTCTGCTCTTCTGCATTGTCTTTTCATATTTTGCACAGCTGTTGAGTTTCTCCAAGGTGCTTTTTGTCTACCACTATTCCTGACTTTCACAGGGGCAATATCATCAATTACACTTTTAACTTTTGAGTTAAAAGATTCAAGGAGAAAATCAACAGAGTCAGCAGATATGCTTGGTTTTGAAGACATGGCCTTCATAAATAGCACACTAATGTTCTCATTTAAGCATCTCTTCTTGACAGACACAGATCTAGCTTCAATGGCAGGAGAGATCAATATATCAAAGAAAATACAGAGGCATTAGCTTAGAAAATTCCCGAAGCAAGTCGATCACAGGGATGCAGGAAGTATGGCAGGGCGACGCATCGTCTCGTTCCCTGTCTCAGGGAACTATGGTTACAGTCATAACCTGAGACGTTCCCATTCGAGGGAACTCGCGATGCGTCGATGACGCTTTGGGAACGAGAATACCCAAAACGCCAAACTTTCAAGTGCCTGAGTGTCAGCCTGTTGTCATTACTACACTAAGCACTAAGCATCTGAGACCCTGGGCAGCGTCCAGGTCCAGGCTATAAAACCTGACGAATGTGAGCGGTGAGGACCAGCCTGCCGCATCACAAACCTCTTGGAGAGAAACTCCAGATAATAAGGCTTTAGAGGCCGCCATACCCCTCGTAGAGTGAGCTCTGACCGCCAAAGGACACGGCTGGTCAGAGGACTCATAATCAAGAGATATAGCCTCAACTATCCACTTACTAACCGTCTGTTTAGAAGCAGAAAGACCTTCCTTGGGTGATCCAAAACAAACAAATAGCTGGTCGGAACTTCTCCACGGAAAAGTCTGATGAACATAAGAGGTTCAGCTTTTCCTGGTCCGAAGAGGTAAAAGGAGGAGGACAGAAAGCCTGCAGCACAATAGGCCTCGGAATCATGGTCGTATCATTGTTTTGGGTATAAGAATGCCTTGACCATCCCCGGTGCAAACTCAAGGCAAGTGGGGGAAACCGAAAGGGCCTGAAGGTCTCCGACTCTTTTGAGGAACGAAATAGCTAGCAGAAAGATAGTCGTAAGGGTAAGACATTTTTCCGAAACCGAATCTAAGGGCTCGAATGGAGCCCCAGACAGGCCTTCTAAGACTATCGCAAGGTCCCAGGCCGGCACCCTAGTGCGAGTTGCAGGCCTCAGCCTCAAGGTGCCACGAAGGAAACGAGTGATCAGGGGGTCTCGACCCAACGATGTACCCCCCATCAGGGCGTGGAAAGCCGCAATGGCCGCCACGTAAACCTTAAGTGTGGATCGACATAGACCTGATGTAAAACGTTCTTGCAGAAACTCGAGTACTGTGTTCACTGAACAGTTAACCGGATCCCACTCAACAGCCTCGGTTGAGAGACCACTCTCTATGAGTTGGGCCCCCTCAGGGACCAAGCCCACAGTTTCCAAGTCCCCTGCCAGGGGTGCAATATTGTGCCCCCTGCCTGAGACGGAAGGTCTCTCCTGATCGGGATCTCCAAGGGAGGGCCGTCGAGGAAAAGAATTACGTCTGTAAACCAAATTCAGCTCGGCCAGCGTGGTGCTACTAGCAGTAGGCTTATTCCGTACTGGCGGATTATCTCCAGAACTCCTGGGAGCAAAGCAACAGGGGGAATTGTGTACAGACAACAGTAAATATAACAGACAGTTTGACACAGATCGCTTGCTGAGGCAACAGAAGCTAATGCCGGTTGCACCGGATGCGCTTTTATCTCTTCCTGGTCATGACGTCACCCGCCCGTGACGCTCATTCCATCCATTGGACTAGTTGACATAGATACATAGAAGCATTCCCAAAGCATCATCGACGCATCACGATTTCCCTCAAAAGGGAACCTGAGTAGAGTAAGAAATCACTGACCCAATACAGTCATCGAGTCCAGCTGTTCTCGAGAAAGCTCGATTCTTTGGTCCTGGTTGCTTAATACCTGGCCGGACAGAACACTGTTGATCTCTGTGCGAGCAGCGGTGAGAGCGTCCGCAGATCTGAGGATCAGAACACACACACACACACACTGGCTTACGCTCCACGTCAAACGGCCAATAGTGAGTCTGAGACAATCTAGCCTTCTGATTTAAAGTGGTGAAAATCCAGTGTTTAATGTTGTTTATGTGTCTATGTGGTGTTTTTAATATGCTTTAACACCATGTGTAAGTTCATAAGTCGACAGCATTGCTGAGTATTTCCTCCTTAAAACTGCAGTGAACCAAAGACAGTCTCAAAAACACGGTTTGAAATCGCTGGTGTTTCTGACGTCACAAACGACCTTGTAACCAATCAGATCAATGTGTGATCGTCAACCAGTGGATCTCTGAGCTGAGTGAGTGAGTGGAGGCGGGGCTCATCTGCATATTCATAGAACCACAGCGTATACTAAATGAGGCAAGGGTGTTGAGTTACAATCATTCTTTAAAAACTTTTTGGCGTTGCTATCAGCGATGAGCCTGTTGTAAAACACATTTCATTGTCAGTTTTAATGCTATTACATATTGAACATGCATTGATTAACACATGTGATTACCTGAGTGTGTAATACAGACTCCAGAAGGCCGCAGGAAGAGTATTAGCCTGTGACGCCCATAACATACACATATGTGTCCGTGCTTTTCCAGTTTCATCCAAATGCATGCGATCAAAAGCCTCCATTCTGCGCTGAATCAGATCCGAGATGCATTTCCGTTGGTGAAGTTCCTCATGCATGAGATCCTCGGCTAAAGCTTCTCTCGCTCTCCACACTCGCGGGATCAATCCGATGGGAACGCCAGCCGCCAGGAACGGGAACGCGTGATCGAACGCCAGAAACTCCCGCATGCGTGTTCTGCTGGCCTGGAGAAACCCCGGGTCTGTCCCGAAGAGCGTGAGGAACCCGGCCTCGAACATGATGCGGTTCGTGAAGCTCTGAAGACCTTCTTCCAGCCACTGGTGTTCAGATCCGTTCTCTCGGCCCAGAACCGTTTGTGGACTACACAACATGGACTCGTTCTCTCGGTCCAGAACTGTCTGTGTATTACACAACATGGACTCGTTCTCTCTGTCCAGAACCGTCTGTGGATTACACAACGTGGACTCGTTCTCTCTGTCCAGAACCCTCTGTGTATTACACAACATGGACTTGTTCTCTTGGTCCAGAACCGTCTGTAGATTGAACATCATGGACTCGTTGAGCTCCTGTAGAGAAGGGCCTTGAAGCGTCTGTCGAAACAGGCCGTGAACTTCCCTGTAACTCTCACTAAACTGCGGATCGTTGAAGTCAGCATGACCAAAGACCTTGTTTGTGTGAGAGAGAGAGAGAGAGAGAGAGAGAGAGAGAGAGAGAGAGAGAGAGAGAGAGAGAGAGAGAGAGAGAGAGAGAGAGAGAGAGAGAGAGAGAGAGAGAGAGAGAGAGAGAAACAAACAAACAGGAGAATCAGGATCAAACCTTTAGGTTTACATTGCATTTTTCCATTTTATTCAAAGTGACTGAAGTGAGTAACATCACAAGAAATGTGTCATACGATTTTAGGATTTCAATATTAGGGGGGCTCAGCCCCCAGTGAGGGTATGATTACAAATATATATATTGTTTGTATACTAGGGTAAGCATGAACAATACAGTAGGTTCTACACTACCTATCAAGTCAATCCCTGACTATTCAATCAATTTCTAATCATTTTAAATAACCAGCTAATATTCACTAGGAATACAGACAAACATGTAATGTTTTAGACATTATTTTTTAACTATATTTGTGCAATAAAATGAACTTTAAAGAAGATATACATTTCTCATTTTCATCGATGGAGAAAACACGGAAAATGTGCCATGATTAAGTGGATGATTTCTGTCACCTGGTGGAAAACAAACACACTTTTACCATGAAAATGACATGAAACTACCACTATAACCAGTAGATGGCTGCAGAGGACCACCCATTAGCTCATTTGCCATTTGCACTCACTTTTATAGTTATTTTCACGAGTTCACACATACATACAATTGGCTTTATGCCACAGCTTCACTACTTCCTGAACTTCAGCCAGCCCTTTGTTTCCTGTCTGTCATTATTGGACAAACTGATTAATCCAGGTGTGCCTGGCCTCAGTAACAATAATCAGGCACACCTGGATTAATCAGTTTGTCCAATAATGACAGACAGGAAACAAAGGGCTGGCTGAAGTACAGGAAGTAGTGAAGCTGTGGCATAAAGCCTATTAGAGGGAGTAAAGTTTAATGCATATTTGGCGTGCTGTCCGGGGGGAGGGCTCCGAGCTCGGAGTTTGGCCCAAACCCAGAGTACCCCCCTAAAGGCTAAAGAGCAGAGGACAGCCGAAAGACCCCCCAAAGGAGTGCCGAGCTGGGCGGGATGGCATCTCGAGGAGGGGCCTGGTTGCTTGACCAGGATGGGCTGTGATGGCGGCTCACCACTCCGGACTGACCGGCCCTGCTGGCCCGCGAACGGGGAGCAGTTGTAATATGGAACGACCAGTCGGGAGGGCTTGCATCTTTCTTGATGGGAACATTTGATCGGCCGCGTCCGCTGTGAGACTAAAAGCTTGCTGGACGGAAAGAGAGAGACCCCAGGTGGACGACCCGGGGGGTTTTAATCAATTTGGGTTTGGTGGGCTTTTTTAATGTGGAACCGCTTGGTCCTGATATAGCTTTGGAAAGCATCTGAGGACCATCTCCCGAGAGCTTGGATCTGCTGTTGGGAGAGGCCTTTTTGGGCTGCTGAAGTTGCTGCCCCGATACGGAAAGAGTGACTTGAGAAATTCTTTGCTGATATTCCTGACAGTTGGAGAACGGATTTGAGGTGTTTCTGGAACCAAAAGCGTGTTTATTGAATTCGTCCATGAACAGGGGTTCCAGAGGAGATTTAGCCTGAGAGCTTCTCCATTGCAGATATGCCAGAATGGACTGGTATGGTTGGATTGACGATGAGAGGTTAAAAATGAAGATGAAATTACCTTTTTTGGTTTCGTCGGTCTTACTTTGCTTAATCAAATATGAGATTGTTTCACCATCTAGTATTGATAAGTTTGAGATGGTGGGGTGGATTTTTGGGTCGAATTTGGAAGTGATGGCGAGTTCCGAACATCTTAGAAAAACAAAAAAGGCTAGGATAAACATGGCGTCGAGTGTCTGGGCGGTATTGGTGAGAATGTCTAGCATTATGGGCTGTCTGGTGTCGGGACGGGTGGGCTGGGATCTTTGAATCCCTTTGATCAGGAGGGAGGTTTGTGAATTGTTTATCTCGGGGAAGGCAGCATCGTACATCAATTTGTGGAAAAACTGAACGCCGCTCAGGTAAGCTTTGATGGACCTGACTTGTAGGCCCTTAACGCTGTTGAGGTAGGAAATAAATTAGGTGATTAAAAGAAGAGAAAAATCGGGGAACGTCTCCAAGCGTTAAAGCCCTCCTAAAATGGGCCCAGTGACGACCCATACAAGTTTTCTTTCAGAATATCTCTAGGTATCTACGGGAAATGCCTACAGAAGCATCAATTACATCAGACCAACTGATACCTTCTACAGTTATTCCCTTAATCGTGTGAGTTGACAGTCGTTTTTATTCCTTTTAGCGCTGCTTTTTGGCGACGAGAGGCAATAACACAGTCAGCTTTCGTCTTTGGCGTCGGCTTGGTGTGTCCCAGTCTTTATATGATATAAAGTGTGTGTTTGAGCTCTCGTCACCTCATGACCTCTAGAGCAGGGGTCGGCAACCTTTTTAGCATAAAAAACACAACACATTAAAAGTTATTATTACACGGCTCTGTGGAATACTTGATTCTGATTGGTCAATAAAATATTAAAACTCAGTCGAATCAATATTTAGTGTACAGTTATTTAATTGTGCCATCCAGTATCGCGGACTCGCTCTCTCTCGTTTCATACAAACGCAGCGGCGGCCATTTTGTGACTATTGTTTTGTACACTGTTGGATTATAAGATACAAACAGGTATGATATTAAAACAGTTTAATCTCAAATCAATATCTCTTATCCCCATAATTATGAATGTGGCGTAATGCTGTAATAAGTGTAATGACTGTATACCGTATCTCTTAAATGTCCGTCTAGTTTGATCTCGCCGCTGAAACTGCTCTCTCCGCGGAAGCTTTGCGTTTAAAGACCTAATAAAATATTTAAACTCAGATCAATATTTCATGGCTAATTGTTTTACTTATGTGCAAGTATCCGTGTAATAACCGGGATAATGTACATCCAGCCGGTTGTTATCTCAGAATAAACCCCCTTCAGGTGTGTGTGTGTGTGGTTTTTCAATAGAATTCATAAAAGTATAGAATAGAATAGTAAGTTCTAATAGGGACTCATTGTAACAGTGTGACAACATGCCCCGCCTGAGCAACTGGGGTTTAAACCTGCGAGTGTTTCTGCTGTTAGATCAGCATTAAAGAACGATCTCAACTGTTAAATAACAGATATAAGATTAAAATAATATCAGATATGTCTAATTTTAAATAAACACAAAAACAGAGATAAAAAATTTACATAAGTAAAAAATTTACTTTTGCTATGGGTAAATAAATGTTCAGTGATATCTTCCAAAGAATTTTTAATTTTGGCATATTTTTTCTCTATATAGTGTTGATATGGCAAGTAGTAAATACGTACACTAAGTTTCGTCATGCTAGCATGTGTGAAAGTATTAAACGTGTTACAACGAGCCTCGCCTTAGTTTGTGTCCCGCTCACCCCTACTTTATTTAAATGAAATACATACTATTCTCTCGCTTTTGCTCATGAGCCGGCATTACCCCTTCAGAGGTCAGAGGTCACTGTGGTGCCAGTGTTCATATAAAGCTCTTACTGCTCATTATAGTATGAGCTCAGCGTTACATGACTAGTTTAGACATGCAATCTTCAACAAGCTTGTCTAAACTGCAGCTCAGACAGAAGGAATGTAATGTTATTGTTTTATACCTGCACAAAGGAGAAGAGAAAATTGCTATGTGTGTGTGTGTGTGTGTCCAGTTCAAGCTTCCCTTGTGCTTAGTTGTGTTGAATGTGCTCTTGTTGTGTACTTAGTATATTTTCAAAAACCTGTACTTGCAGACAGTATTTTAATAACATAGAAGGCCACTTAAGTGTACTTAAAGTGAGTGAGTGGAGGCGGGGCTCATTTGCATATTCATAGAACCGCGCATACTAAATGAGGCAAGGGTGTCGAGTTACACTCAATATATTTTAAGGCATGAAGAATTATTTTCAAGGAATTATTTTTAAAATATGTCGTCAAATATGAGTTTTGGGGGATAAAATGATTGACTACAGGGGAACTTTAAAGTACACTTATTTTGATGTGTTGACTAGCATACTAACGTGGGCATCTTATGATGAGCTCTGATTAGTGCCCTTCAGACAGGCGTGGTGTAATAGATCTCACGCATGAACCGTTTCCCAGAGTGCAATGCTTCGCTCTGTCTACAGAGAGCCGGGGTTATGCCTGTAACCCAATGCTTTCTTATCAGGAGAACAGTAATCAAAAACTTGATGCCTTTTATCCCATTTAAAAGGAGAATTTCCTGGTGTGTTTTCCAACTTTTCCACGGTTGAATGACTTGTGTTAAAAGCATGTTGAAATACGAATGTAAATTAAGATAATCCATAGACGTCTACATGCTAAGATAGATATTTGGGTTAAAGTGTTAGAAAGCAAAATCACAAATTTCTCTAAAGTCCCCCTGTGGTGAAAATCCAGCTTTTAATGTTGTTTATGTTTCTATGTGGTGTTTTTAATACGCTTTAAGACACACCGTGTGTAAGTTCATAAGTCGACAGCATTGCTGAGTATTTCCTCCTTAAAACTGCAGTGAACCAAAGACAGTCTCAAAAACAGGGTTTGAAATCGCTGGTGTTTCTGACGTCACAAACGACCTTGTAACCAATCAGATCAACGTGTGATCGTCAACCAGTGGATCTCTGAGCTGAGGGAGTGAGTGGAGGCGGGGCTCATTTGCATATTCATAGAACCACCGCGAATACTAAATGAGGCAAGGGTGTCGAGTTACATTCAAGATATTTTAAGGCGTGAAGAATTTTTTTCAAGGACAAAAACGTTTACAAATATAATTTTGGTGATCAAAGATGAGTTTTAAGGGATACAATTATTGACTACAGGGGGACTTTAATATTTCCGTTGTTAAAGGGAACAAAAGGAGATTTTTGCAAGGGTCTCCTAAAGCTTCTCGGCTTTAAAAGAGAAATAAAAAAAACATAGATTACAAATAAACATGCAAATGGAGATCGTGAAAGTCCAGGCTTGTTGCATCACTTACCCGGCGAGAAAATCCAAGAGAAAACTTCTTAAAGTCCAGATTTCTGCTTTGCCGGACCACAGTGGAAAAAGAAAAGGGGTCTGTGACAAACGTGAAGTATTTCCCAGCAATGGCACATGTGAAAACATCCCCATATTTCTTCTGCGTCTCTCTTAAGAAGCCTAAAGGGTTTGCGGCGTAATCCAGAGTGACTCCGATGATCGGGATCCAGCCAGAGACGAGCGGAGGCTCCCCGGGGCGTCTGCAGTCACACACACACACACACACACACACACACACACACACACACATATAATCACAGCACATCTCAAAAGTACTTTTAATGATAAATGGTCACATTTGTGTGGGGGGCGCTGAGGGCGCGGGCGCTTCGGTCTGCGCAAGCGCCGGAAAGTGGCGGAAGTGATCTCTCGCGCGGTTGCGAAAAAAATTCAACGTTGTCTGTTGATATATCGAAATCGTCTTCCATTGCGATTTCCTGTATATCTAAATATGTTTAGATCTTCACAGTGAAAGGTAACACTTCCGAAATCTCTGTGTAAACAATGAGTGACGTACACGCGCGAGAGATCACTTCCAGACCGAAGCGCCGGCGCCCTCAGATCACTTGGACGTGGCTGTGTTTACAAGAGGTAAAAACGATATAAATACTGTTGGTTTTCTCACACAAACCGCTCGCTTCGTGTCTTAGGCCATCAATGTGTACTTACATTTACGAGTCATTAAATCATGTTTAATTTGGACTTCTCTGTGCATGCTCTTTGAGGTGGTGACCATAGACCTGCATTATATGACTGACAGACAAGAACGGTTTGACCTAAAAATATCAAAATAACCCCGCCCCTAAACCTACCCGTCACTGGGGTTAAGACCAATCAGGGACGATAGCCTACCCCTAACCCCGCCCCTAAACCTACCCGTCACTAGGGTTAAGACCAATCAGGGATGACTATAGTTCCGAAATGGTATATGGTGGGGTCCGGATAACAGGAAAGTACCAAATTGAAACTACTGCGGAAACAAAGACACCTACATCTTGGATGCCCTTGAGGTAGGCTAAAACATACCAAAAATTAATTTCAAAGTGAACTATCCCTTTAAGGGGACGTTCACACAGAACGCGTTTTTTTTTTTTTCATTCGACTGCTACTTTTCCATTGTTTTTCAATGTAAACACGCGCTAGACTAACGTGTTTGACCGTTATAAACGGAAATGTGCAGCGAGGCGGATTTGCTGAGGTGACGTGATGCTAACGCTAGCAGACAAACGGCTAGTAGTGACATCAGCGGCAATCCACCTGTCAGTCAAGTGGCCACGCGCTTAATTATGCAGAACTTTAAGGTTTAATTTAAACTGATTATAAAAGGTATAAAAAAATTCACCCACCTCACAGTCGTCATGAAGAACAAAATTAGCGATATAGACCAAAACCACTTTTTGCACCAGAATGTAAACATGTTTTATTCAGCTGTAAAGTTGGGCATTTTAACATGCGGGTCTATGGGATTGAGTCTCTTCTGCAGCCGGCCTCTAGTGGCCAGTGGAGGAACTGCAGTTTAACTCACTTCCGTGTTGGTTTCAAGAGAGAGACGCGCTAAAAACACAACGCTCAAGTTAAAATAAGTTAAACTTTTTAAAAAACGCGTTTCTAGAAGTTGCGCTTTCTGATCTTCATCTCGCGTTTATAACAGGAGAAAGCTTTCTGTGTGAACCGGCCCTACAGTTTCTTGCTTTCTAGCTATGTGTTAAATAACAAAATACGTTTTAACGGCTCTGGCTAAATGGAGACAGCACACCTCTCATATCATATTTGATATGTTTCTTTATAACCCCTCTATAATATATATAGAGTCTATATCATTAAAATGATCAATATTTTTCTGAAACACCATCTTTTGTGCGCGTGTCCTTCAAAAGATATGACTTTTGAAATAATTCCCGAAATGTCTACGTTCTTCCATGTTTTTGCTTGGCTGATTTTAATATGTCAAGAACAACAGTAACCTAATTAATATTTCACATTTATTGAAAAAAAGTGTTGAAAATGTTTTAAGTTAGGCCTATATTTATTTTACTACTATAATGCATTTCATGATTTACTATCCATCACAATAAAAACAATCATCAAATAATTGAATTATTAAATTAAACTAAAAAAATTAAAAATTAACAAAGATATTTAGAGCGGGATCTGATATTTTCATTAATACATTCATTGTGATCCGCCTGTTGTTGTGAAATCACAAGTTTTAACACATTAACGACTGTTCCATATATTTTGTATTAATATTCTATATTTTGTAGGCTAATCGCGTATGTTAATTGTGACGTCTAACATAAAGCTGCAGTGACATTACGAGCAGATGTAACACGCTTATCACATGTGTATATGTCACATTAAGTTATGAAAAACTGTAATAACTCCAGAAAGAGTGAAACTCAATGACATGGAGCTGATCTCACCTTCTCCGCGCGTGTCCGCAGATCCACACGATCACGAGCGTCAGGAGAACCGCAGAAACTGCGACGAAACACGGAGACATTTCGCTTTAACTCTCTCTCTCTCTCTCTCTGCGATTTGATATTTTCTCTGAACTACATTTTATTAGCGCGTTCCCGGACCTCGCCTTTAGGCGCGCCCCCGCAGCGCGCTTGACGCAACACGCACAGACACACACACACACACACACACACGCTTTCAATTATCCAAGAGGAATTCTTCCTGAGTTTGATTCTTCCTCACTGATGCATACTATAGTGTTTATAAGGATTTAAGTCTTTATAGCGCTTTATACGGATTGTTTTTACAGTGATTTGGTTTGATAAAGCAACAGAGGTATAGGCCAATAATGTTCAAAATAAAAATAATAAACGAGACACTTGAAAGACCTGTGCAAACACCTGTGTGAACTTGAGGGGAACTGACTTCTATAAGATCTATAAAATGTCGCTTCAGTTTCCAAACACTCCTCAGGGTCACTGCATAAAGGAATGCCTGATTGGATAATAAAGCATAACTCCATATTTCAGATTGCAGGACTCGATATGCGGTGAATAATGTGATTGAGAAAGGCAGAGGCAGTTAGTGGTCAGGCTTTAGACATTTCCCATCACGAACAGACAGTGTTATTGACTAACAAACGCGCTGAAACACGACATTAAACCCAACGCATTCACAACGTTATATTACATTCTCATTTTAATTTGATGTAGCCTATATTACAGACTTTGCACTGAACTGTGTTTTCCTGTTATAATGAAATGTGGAGCCACACACCGCATGTTTAACAGCAGATATCTTCATATCTCCAGTAACGGTATATTGTGCAACACTCGAGTAAAGATGGCGTTGTTGACATGATTGGACAAGTTTAGACTCTCGGGTGTTGCTGTTCTCCTCGAGTCTCAGGACAGTGTAAAGTCCCGGTCATTATGAGTTATATTTCTCATGTTCATAACTGTGTGTGTATACTGTAAACCTCCTTCAACACGATCACAAACACTGATGAGTGATCGGCAACGACAGGGTTAATCATCACCCGCTACTGGACTCATTACACTTCATGAGGAATAACTCCTAATACTGTTTTTTAGGGCCACTGTATAAAGAAACACCTGATACAAGATCACTGTAAAAATGTATATCCTCCCAACTCAACATTGTCTAGTGACCGGACACATCTAACATTTTCAACTGGCCCAAATTAAATCTGATCATTTAATTTTATCACTTTGTAGAATTTCACTGTTTTCAATTGAAAATTTTAGATGTGACAGTCACTAGAAAATGTTGAGTTGGGAGGTTAGACATAAGATTGAATGCAGTTATTACACACACACACACACACACACACACACACACACACACACACACACACACACACACGCTGCTGTAATCCGAGGCCGTTAGTGGTCAGGATTTACACATTTCCTGAGAACTACAGTTATCAGTTTAAACCAACACTAACATAACAGTCTAACTAACATCCCATAATATATATATCCAAGCCTCATGTGAAAGCATATTTTGTGCATTTGTGACATTATTCAGGCATATTTCTAAAAAGTGGCAAAACACCTCGAGTGTAATTTTTTTTTTTACTTTCAATGAAATGAATGCGGTGAGACTTCACAATAAGGTTCTTTAGTTAATGTATTAATGTATTTACTAACATGAACAATAAGCAAAACATTTGTTACAGTATTTATGAATCTTTGTTAATATTAGTTAATAAAATACAGCTGTTCATGTTAGTTCACAGTGCGTTAACTATTTTAGTAAAGTATTAGTAAATGTTGCTGAGTGCAGTTCATTATTAGTTATGAACTGCACTTATAAATGCCAGTTAATAATGAACTGCATTATAAATGCCAGTTAATAATGTTAACTAATGAACCTTATTGTAAAGTAGCCTACTGGTGGCTATATTTTAGTTCAATAAATATTTTGTATTTTGAGGCTGTATTTCATGGTACTAAAGGATATAAATTATGCACCCAATTATTTCTATAACAATATATAGGCCTATATATGTGTGTGATTGAAACATGTTTTGCACTCTTCAATTTGCCTCGCCTCTTCCTTTGGAGACAAAAACAGAAACTGCGGCACTGAAGCTCAGACTCTTCTGGACAAAGGCTTTTAATCTCTTACCACTCAGGAAACTGCGGGTTTATGTTTTTTGTGGACTATATTCCCAGTTCGGCAGAGTTCACATCGAGGAGTGTTTCACACACACACACACACACACACACACACACACACACACACACACACACACACACGACCCCGTGACTCCCTCTACTGGACAACATTACTATCAGTCTTCATCTTCAGTCCCTCATCATCTCGTGGAAACGCGTCTCTACATCACGCGTTGTGTTTATCGTGCAATTTATACGCGAAGATGAGTTTTTTCGTGCATATGATACGCACTTTATTATTATGGCGTGTAATACACCCACACACACACACACACCACTAATCATAACCAAGCGTATATATAGCACACACACACACACACACACCACATTTGCACGTAAAAACTCATCTTCGCGTATAGATTGCACGATAAACACAACGAGAGCTGTAGCCTATGTAGTGTGTCCGGGTGTCAGGTCAGCAGGATCTGCTCTTAGGCGCCCAAACATCATCAATTCACCAAACTAAACATGACTGCTCAGATTGTTCTCCATGTGAACAAAGTTTTGAGAAGTTTGGACTTTGTGCGCACAAGATATCGGCGTAAGAGTCATAATGGGTCATTCCAGACCAAAATAGTGTCTAAACGGCTTAATAAATCAAACTTTGATCACTGTTTGCCAGCATGTGTAGAGCTGAAACATCCCGGTGTTGTAAATGCTGTAGCGCCCCCTGGTGTCTATTCTCAGACTTAAAGACGGAAAGGAAAATTGAGAACAATTATTACGTTATGCACAGTTATAAAATAATGTTTCGTATTACATTATGAGTTGCTGGGACAGAATTGTGAGATATAAACTTGGAACTGCAGGGGGAACAGTCAGACGTGTGAGATCAAAATGAGCCTTTCTTTATTTGTTTGTTTATTTAGGCTATTTTATTCCGTGGCGGAAACAAGCTTCATTTACATGACTCGCGCGCGCGCGCGCGCACACACACACACACACACACACACACACACACACACACACACACACACAGATCCGAGCGTTCAAAGGCAATAAAGAGATTTAAATACAGAGAGTGTGTGTGTCGTCACAGTGGGCGGAGTCACTTTATGTTCAAACTCCCTTTATACCTCATTTAAAATATGAAAATAAAAATGGCGCGTATGTAAAAATGTTACTAACGAAACGAGGCAGCAGACCTGGACAATATCTGGATCTAAAACTATATTCATTCCTATATTAATAACAAATGCAATCTATCCAGCATGAACAAACTCTATGAAAGCAGTGGCGGTTCTAGAGGGAGGCCAGGGGGGGCCAGTGCCCCTGTGACAAAAAGCTTGGCCCCCCTTGTGGCCCCCCTAAATGTGGAGTTTGAAATAATTTTTACAAAACTGTTTTTTGCTATCGTTGTTATCGTTGTATGCGTATTATTTTTTATTATTCTATCTTTGTGGATTTGCATTTTCACGTGACAATTCGCATCACATTCCCGGGAATCGCGGCAGAATAACGTCTGTCTCCTGCACGCGAGAGAGGAGAGAAGGAGAAAGTTGGTAAATGTCAGTTCAGTTGTAAGTTCATTCTTTATGTGCGAATGGGGTGTGTGATGTGTAGCCTATTGTCTATTATGATATTGTAATCATTGTTTTAACTATGTACGAGGCACTGTGAGGTGACATCGCGTTTGTCTATCGTCACTGCGGTGTGCCGTTCATAGGTAGGCTATGTCCCCAAATTAGTTTTTTTGTCTTATATTTATATCATATTATGTTCTTATATTAGAATATCACATCAGCAAGAGTGCAGTTTTCCCGTGCACAATTACAACTGTGATATTTATGTTATACAACAGTTAAATTAACAATAAGTTAACATTGGGAGAACTTTTTAGACACAATATTGTCAATATTGTTTGTTTTCCCTTTATTTCGCCGACAAGAATTTCATAATGAAACCGTAGCAGAGTCTCAATGCAACACAGCGATGATTTATTGACTAGTCTGAAATCCGCGTTTTGAACGAATCACTTGCTTCTTTCTGAATGAATCAGCCGTTTGAACAAATCGGTTGAATGAATGAATCCCTCTTACAGGGACTTGCCGCCGCCTACTGGCGGTTTTAGTTTCATATTTAAAGTATCCTTTAATTAAAACGTTAAAGGTGCTCTAAGCGATGTCATGTGTTTTTTAGGCCAAAACATTTTTTGTCACATACAGCAAACATCTCCTCACTATCCGCTGGCTGCCTGTCCCCTGAACACACTGTAAAGAAACGCGATCTCTGTAGACAGCCCATGCTTCACAAACAGCACCAAAAACAAACTGCAGCGACCCGCTCCCCAAAACATAACAAACTGTTCCAGCCAATGACCGACAAGAAGGGTTTGGGGGTGTGGTTTGGGGGGTTAGTGTGCGGATGAGGAGGAGGGAGGGTCTAGCTAGCCTCCGTTTTGTTTGACAATAGTTCGAACGTCAACAAGAAGTGACGTCACCCAGGATCGCTTAGAGAACCTTTAAAATTAGAAATCATTTCATATTTAAATATTGATTAAAAAAAAAATCTCATAGCTTTATTTATGCTATTGTAAATGGAGTGTAAATATATTAATGCCATATTCTGTGTCACCTCTGCACTGCAAAGATGGATTTTGATTGAATTAATTAATTTGACTGGTAGCAATGGCACTGTATAATTATTGTATAATTAAGTCTTATTGTATAAATAAGTATAGGCCTAATTATTGTATAATTTGAATGTTAGTATTTGACATAAAAGGTGATGCATAACTCTAAATAAGTTGAGAAAAAATGTCCATATATAGGTGAAAATGCCCCTGGAAATCAATTTAAAGTGGCAAATATTGCCCCTTAATTTAAAAAATTATTTCTGTCACTGCTGTGAACTGACCATATAATATGAAAAATATGAATATCTTCGTGAGTCAGCTGTCAACAACAGGCCTAAACCAGCCATG